ACTCCTGAATCATCTGTATCGGCCCTACACAGGGTTTCTGAAAGGTGGTTGCATGGGGGATTATCAGGCCTAATAATCCAAGCAATGAATGATTTTATTGGAAAAATAATGTCAGAAATGATGTCATTTCCTTCAAGTTCGACCATCAAATTTAATATGAAAGAAATCCGTGCCAGTCATTTTGTCAAAACCAAATATTAGTATTAGTAGTCCTCAATATAATTAATATAATTGTCCTCAGCCCCGCAGTGGGTGAGATATAGCATCATGAAATTTATATATTTTAGCATATAGCAAAAGCTACGTCTCAAAATACATTCCTCATAGCCTCAAATGGTTTCGGAAAAATGTAATAGTCATATACATTGTAGTAGTAGATAGAATCATTCATAAAAATTTTTTAAAAAATCAAAAAATCAATAGGCAATTTATGGGAGATATTTGAATTTAGGGTATTTTTTTAAAAATGGCCATAGCTGGTTCTGCGTAACTACAATTTTGGTGACCCTCATATTTCATGTGGGGTGTACTGGGTACCTAATGACCGAATCTGCAAAGTTTGGTCAAAATCGCCCGACACCGCTTGTGGCGTTGTTTTTTTTAAAATTTTGCATGGTTCTCTCGCGAACTCATTCCTAATCTTTATTCACCAATTATTTAACCTTTATTCCCTAATTATTTTTTTTACATTAAGTAACTAACTGATAAAATATATTGAAATAAAGGTAACCAAAGCGATAATTCTACCACTTTTCTCCACGGTTATAAAATAAAGGGAACCCCCGTAGCTCAGTGAATAAAAGGGTTGACTCACTGTATAAAAAAATTAAAAATAAGACTGGTTCGCTAACCACGGGGTCCGGTCCCAGGTGCGATCCGGGTGTTGGTTGATAAAGTTCCTTGGAATTTTCTGGTTTATTTTCCCCATGTCAGTGATACATGGTGGAGTTCCTGGCAAAGGACAGTGTCTAGTTGTTCCGGTGGGACAAAAAATTACCGAGATACCGTGTACACGTACACGTAAAAGAACCCCTGATTCTTCGAATTTGATATGAAATTAGGCTATAGCGCCGCTTTCCAGGCAAATTTTCCCTCATATCACATCCCATGGTGTATACCGAAAACGCCATATTGAGTAATTTCATAAAACTATAGTCGGTTAAACATCGCGATCTCTAGAGTGTCCGCCAACAAATCTGAAAGGACATCCGGAGGGGAAGGGACAAAGACAATGCGCCATATGAAAATGTGGGCATATAAAAATATCTTGAACTGTCGAGATAGTTATGTCGATCGCTTGTATTTGTTTAATTGGTTTAATATTCAAGCCATGTTAAAATATTTCAAATTATGTTTTATATATCAATTAATTTGACAATAGAAATGTTTGTCGTAACCTTAGATTCATTGCTTGAGTATGTGATATGATTAGACGAGTCAGACTATGTATTCAATTTAGCAAAAACCTCTTGGCAAGAGATTCTTTGCATACAGAAAACCAATTTGGTACAAAATAATAATTAAATTTATCTTTGAGAAATGACTGGCCTAACAACATTTGCGAAAGTGTCCACTTTCCCAACTTGATTAAATGCGTTCGTTAATTGAAATAATTAGGACTAATCGTCGAAGCTAGCTTTACGATAATGTCCCTGTCGAATCTCCTTGTGTTAAAGATGCATTATATATATGAGCTAAATCTGCATATTATTTAAAAATGTTACATAATTTATTACGGAGACATTTATGCACATGGCAAGCCATTGACATGTGTTTAAAATCTGATTGCGTGGGTTTCTTATGTGGTTTGGGAAGGGCTTTATGTTTGTTAGTTTTTCTCTGTGTGGTTTTTGTTTGGTGATGTGTGAGAGCGCTACAACACTAAATACCATATCTAATTATTTCACATCTACCTAATACATTCTTCAATTTAGCGATCACATTGTAGTATTTTAATGTTTTCATTGATATAGATATTTCAACTTTGCTCTCGTTTTTAGTAGAAGTGACAACAGGGTGAAGATTTATTAGAAAGGGCGACAGGGTGGGAATTTTATTAGAAAGGGCGACAGGGTGGAGATTTTATTAGAAATGCGACAGGGTAGAGGTGTTTTTTTTTTAGAAAGGACAAAGTAGAGCTCTAATTAGAAAGGATGACAGGGTAGAGATTTTATTAGAAAACACAACACGGTAGAAATTTTATTGGAAACGGCGGTATAATAGAGATTTTATTGGAAACGGCGGTAAAATAGATATTTTATTGGAAACGGCGGTATAATAGATATTTTATTAGAAAGGACAACGGAAGTTTTATTAGAGAGGACGACAGACTAGAGATGATACTAGAAAAGGTGACATGGTAGAGATGGTTTCAGAAAGGACTACATGGTAGAGATTTTATTTGAAAGGACGACAGAGTAGATGTTTTATTAGGAAGGAAGACAGGGTAGGTGTTTTATTAGAAAGAATGACATGGTAGAGATTTTATTACGATCTGGTCACTTTGACATTATGATAAGTAGAAGAATTCTCACTGCTAACTATTGACAGGGCGTGTGAAAAGCTGATGTCGTGATTGGACAAACAACATGTTAATTGGTGGATGCAATGCTATAACATTTTAGTTACCAAGGCCGAGGAAATTTAGCTATTTTAGGGATGTCAAATTAACATTTGGTTAACACGAGGTGCACATTGGAATACCGTTAATATAAATGCATTTTTTATTTTTAGTTTTCTGATTGAGAACTTCATTCGTTCGTCGTATTCACTACTACAAGACGTTGATATCTTGATTTTGACCTCTCTTCTAATACTACTATCACTGCAGATCTATTTCCCCAGCACTGATTATACTCGAAGTATCCTTTATTGTAGTAGTGACTTGGGTCGGGCACATATTGCCTTTTCATGGGAACACTAGATACCCTTCATTATCATGTTTCTTTTTTTATTAAATTTGGGGATCAGGTGGCTAAGTGGGTAAGACGCTGGGTCGCTAGCCTGGAGGTCGGGTGTTCGATCCCTGCATTGGCCGAGAAAGTTCATCCAGATTTTCCGGCCGGCGTGGTTTCCCCTTGTCAGTGATGCAGGACGGAGGGCCTGACAAGGACAGCTGTCTAGTCCTTCGGGTGAGACGAAAAACCGAGGTCCGTGGCGATAATGCTGCTGCCCAGGCAAAATTTCCCTCATAGCACACTGTATGGCGTATGCCCGTCTTCATTAGCCCAGCATAGGAGCAGAACAGTAGGACGTTAAACCCCATTTCATTTCATTTCATTTTATTAAATTTGATCGTCCTTTAGCATCCTCAACATGATGGAAGATATCGATATCATTTCGTCGGATTTGAAGGCAGTAGAGAAAACTTTATTTGCAATATAAATTTCAAGACTAAAAAATGTGTACCCCAAAAGTGTGTTAGCTATGTGCACTCCCTAAAAAAAGTAGTGGTACCAAGTCTTCAGAAAGAGCACGACACCATCCATTATATGACAGTTGGCTCTATGAGGCCCAGAAAGAGTTCATCTAACATTTTTTATGCCTTCGTAGAATAGCCATGCAGCAAAGCCGCTTAAAAACGTTATTACTTGTAGTTCATGCATTAAACACACACAACACGTTTTATTTAATAAACAACGATCACTACAATAAATACTAGACTTTCCTGGTCAAATATTATCCAGAATAATAAGAGATCGTCTCCTGTACTTTAAGGCGGCAAATTGGATAATAATAATTCGACATTTCTTGTCAGGTATGCCGGGAATTTTTTTGTATCCCACTGAATGGTCGTGATTTTGGTCTCTTTGTTTGAAAGTTGTTATTCATGGGCGGACCTTGATACAAACCCATTGTAATCTAAAGAGATTGGATGCCTTGAATAATATTAGGTATATATACAATACTGGTAGTAACTTGGGTCCTTATAAAAGTTTTAACAAAGAATCTTGCTTTCATTGCTTCCTTCCTTTAGAAAGAGTTATCTTCAGATTATCCAAACACGTTTGGTGGAGGACAAAATAAGTGAGAAACAAAATGATGAATAAACACTTAAAATAATTAGATGCTCACTAGAAGTGTAGAATTTGTTTGGCGTATTCTTTCGTATCGCCCAACTAAAGTCCCCTTTAGAAGTTCCACAAGGAGCATATACCATTGTAGTCTTTTCAATTATATATAACATGTTATGTTAGATTTCCAGGCCTCAAAAGATCATTTTAGAAGCAAGATGCATTAGGTTTAATTGTTTGCATAGATGGGATTGCCTTCTTAGTTAAACTAGCCTTTTCTATAGAACACATGTAATTAGTTAGGCACGGTTTTGACACCGGGTAAAGTCTATTATGTTTATCATTTACTTTAGGCGTAATTCTTGATAATTGTGTAACCAGCTTGGTTCTTAGAACTGTTGTCAGTTCTTCATTGCGGTCTGTTCTTATTCATAGATCATAAACGCATGATTCAGTTAGTTGTAGTACTTTATGTAGATACAGTTATATCAATTATAACAGACAATATTCAGAACTATATTATAGGTATACAGAATTATGCACAACTAAAGAAGTATAATTCAAGAGTTGGCATAAGTTAAATGTAGCCTGTTAACTGTATCTCTTCCCTAACTTGTCCTCCCTGGGTTCATCTTCACATTTATATATATTTGAAGATGTAACCCCTAGCTACCTACATTACAATTAACATACACACAACAATTCAGATATAGATTAAAATATTAAAAGAATAGGGAGAAGATTATAGACCTAGAAAATAAGCTTATAATATTAACTACATACATGTATTAAAATATTACCATTAACATACATTCTTATTAGAATACTCGTTAAGAGGACTGTGCTCTAAGATGTTATATCAGTGTTAAGGTAACCCATAATTAATTCAACCATAGAAAGGTAATTATAGGGTCTTGATAGACCGTGGTGACAATTGCATAACACATATAAAGTTTGTGACAAGTAAACCAGTTTAAGTGTACTTACGATATCAGCAGGATGGTCTCTTCGGTGTATGCATTATGACACACTATCATTATTCACATGGTGGTTTTTATGGTTGTTAACGGTAAAAAAAAACAACAAACAAAACCTGTAAAGTAAGCCACTATGAAATATGAAATAAGTAATAGAAAATCAATACTATCAGAGATTAAACGTAAACGAAACTCTTAAAGAACACCCATTGAAAAACATTTGTTACTAAGACAGGTTAATAATCATGTGTACAAAGCCAGGTTAATAAAAGGAATTTTTTACACAATGCATTTCGTGTTTTAGCAACATCCGTTGTTGTAATGCTTTTCTCAAATCTTTATTAAAAAGCTCCCCGCTTAGATTCCTTAGACACGAAAACAAATTTAAAACTGGTAATATATTTATTTAAATTTGATGTGTTACTCTCTTTCTGAATATAATATAACAATCATTAGCACATATGTGGATGATATTACAGGTATGTCTTTTCTGTGATGTAATAGTTATTATAAGTGCAAACTTTTTATAATATTTATCTTAAATCCTAACTTTGTGTGATCTGTTTTCTACAATAGGAGAAATATTACAAGTAGTGGTCATTTGAATTCTAAACAGACTCTTGTAAAGTAATCACATACGGTGTTTGATTTCGTGTCTGGAATATAAATACAATTTAAATAGGATGATTTTCTTTCAGTAAATTTTCTATCAGCAGACAGTGAAACTACATAATGAATTTTGTTTTGAAATGGTGGAAAATACATTTCACCACTTTTCGATGATTTTCTAATTGTGTAATTGTTGCTAAAAAAAACCTGTCAGGACATAAACGTGCATATACATCTCTAAATTAAATAAACAAATGACTCTGGTAGCAATTGTGTTTCTATGAACTAGTGGTTTTTACTGTCACATTGTAATTTGGTCATATATTGTGGTCACCCAAGTCTGACAATCTCTACACATGATTACAATTATTTTCAATAATCTGTTGAGCCAAAAGGGGAGATAATTAAAGCTTTATTTTCATTCATCAAGTATCAGACTAGCAATTATTTGCTCATTGACGTCAATGTTAAATGGCTGTAACATCACAGGCGGTAGCTTTTTGCTCAATATTCCATTGGTTCCAATCTTTATAGGCACAATGGGGACCACATTTGGCAATCTCCACATCATAATTTTGAAGGGGGTTGACCGTTTAGATATTTTGCTACAGGGATTTGATGTCGACTGGGGTTAAGATCTCACTTCAGACACAATGATTGCTCTACAGAAAGACACTTTAAGCCCCCTATCCCTCTGCTTTAATTTCTTTAGTATTACCCAAAACTGCTATGAAATTGCAAACTTGATCCCTTTTCTCCAATTCTAGACCAAAAAATCAACCCAAAAATGCAGGTTAGAGTAGAAAAATTAAGGGGAAAATTGTCTATCAATAACTCGCACTACATGAAATAATTTAAATAAAATGAAATGGGGTTTAGCGTCCTACAGTTCTGCTTCGAACTGGGCTAATGAAGACGGTACATGAAATATTGGGAAATAATTACTAGTCTTAGTCCAACTGTGAATAAAATTACATTTCCGAGTCTCCAGACAAGACTAGTGTTATCCGAAACAAATTCAAACATGCATTCCGCTTATCCTGCTTCGATAATGTCTTTGCTTATTTCTAATGAATTGACCCCAACAAATATCAGATTTTGTGTGTTTTGTATAAATATTGGAGGACTTTTAATACTGAATAATGATATTTGATGAAGAATTTTTTATGGAAATTAGATAACATTTTACATATAACTTTTGACCTCGATAAAATGCTAACCCCTAGGGGATAGAGGTAGTGTCCTATTGGAGCTTATGTTAAAAATAGGAAAACTTCCATGAGCTGAGATTAGGGAAACACTAGAATGACTCTAGTGTTGGATTCACTTCACTTGAGTAATTAAAAGCCAAGATAATGTTACAAATTTGGTTGAGCTCAAAAATTAAGTTTTAACAAAATTATGGAAAATGACCAACAGTTTCAATTTTTGAATTTAATATATTTTCCAAAGTGTTACCTTTTTTCTAACCTGAACATCAAATAAAGTGGTTCAGGTTAACTCTTTTACTGACACAAATTCTGACACTAACGCTAACTTTCTGTTCTGACCTCACCCATTGTTCCAATAGTGTTCATTATAAACACAAATATAAATCTGCTTGTTGTGTAATACAAGTGTATTTTCTAAATAATTCAATGTGAATTAATAAATCAATGTGAATTAACAACCCAGTCTGAGTTTTGATGAGTACCAAAATCGAACACATTCAAGATCTGTTGATCCTTAACATATTTGTTAAGTTTCAATTGAATCCTTAACGCATGTTTTAAGTTTCATCTGAATCTGAAAAAATTGTTGACTCTGGAGTGTTCACGAACCTCGCACATATTTCACATTTTGCGTAAAAGGCCGATGAATACCAAAGTCAACTCATGAGCCAAGATCTTTTGACCCTTAACATATTTTAAGTGTCATCTAAATTGGACAAAAGCTGCGGCCTCTAGTGCCAAGCACCTTTCGTAGGATTGTGGCGGACTACACTGAAACGTTTGTCAAAATGCTATTTTTTCATAAGAAACATGTACCGGTAAATCTCTGATTATACACCCCTTGCCACATTACTAATCGGCTTTGTCAAATAAGTCAAACAATAATAAATGTAAATAATACGTCCAATTATATTAATTCTATTTGTTCATTTAATCAGAAATAAACATTTTTTTAAACCAATAACGAATAAGGATAATTTGAATAAAATAGTTGATCCAGTGTAATAAATACACAGTTTTGCCAAACTGACATCACTTTCCGTGACAGTGAAAGCGTTAAATTGTCTTGATATAATCTACCTTTAGAACCTTTATGTTACGTCTTTCAAATTTTTACTTTTAATCTAAATCAGCACTTTTTTGTCCCCCGCCTTTCGAAGAAAGCAGGGGACTATTAAAATGGGTTCGTCCGTCTGTCTGTCTGTCTGTCTGTCCGTCCGTCTGTCTGTCCGTCACACTTTTTGGGACACAATAACTCTCCTTCTAATTGACCTAGAATAATCAAACTTGGTGTAGGTATTGGGTCAATGCCTTGATAGAGTGCAAATATGAGCATTTTCTGCTTATGGTAAGTAGAGATAAGCAATTTGATTGGTTAATGCTTTGGGACACGATAACTTTAGTTCTAATTATAAATTAAGCGAGAGTGATGAAACTTGGTGTATAGTTTCATTACATCAATACCTTGACTAAGTTCGATGATGAGAATTGTCTGCTTAGGCTAAGGAGCAATAAGCATTTTGATTGGTCAAGACTTTGGACCATAACAACTCTGCTTCTAATTGAGGTAGAATGTTTCAACTTGATGTAGATGTTCGTCTTGACTGAGTTCAATGATTAACATATTGAGCTAAAGCTAAGCAGAGATAAGCAATTTCCTTAGTCGATGCTTTGGGACAAGATAACTTTGATTCTATCTGATAGAGAGTGATGAAACTTAGAGTATAGTTGATAATCAGTTTGATTGCTCTATACTTTTGAAAAAAAAAAGATGTGCGATTAATAATATGTGCCATCTATTTATTTGGGGATTTCGGCGGGGGACATCAGCCTCACTGTTGGCTTGTTTAAACCGATGAGTCTTAATACTTATTTTATAATTTGATATGAACTTGTTTCTGGGAATAAAATATGAAATAATAATGTAAATAATGATGACGTTTCATAGTAAAAGGTGAATTTGTTCTTCAAGGGGTCGCGATCAGATGCTAGTTTTTTAAATGGGGTCGCAACCAACAAATGGTTGGGAACCACATTTCTAGTGGGTCCACAACCTTGGTATTACATGCTTTTGCACTATTTGTGTAATAGGGAGCGGTCATTTTGATGGGAAGTTTCGGTCCAATTCAACCGTAATTATGATGTAACGGCAGTCAAGAAAATATTCAAATTCATACGTAATAAAAAAAATAGGTGCACCTCGTTAGTTTTCATATTTAATTCCTGTACGGTATTCAAATATATGTCAGTAATATTCCTACAAAATTACATGTTGTCGTAATACCATAGAATGAAAGCGTGCCAACAACTGTAGACCCATATACATTTGTTCAAATTATTCACCTCCAAAATTACCGTATTTTTCGGGGTATAAGTCGATACTTTTTTCAGCAGAAGTCCGGCATTCGTATTATACTCCGTTTTGAATTCTATACGGATGGAGGTAAAAATAAAAGACATCCCGAAAATTTTTTGGCAGTAGTGACTGTCGCTCCATGATACCGAGCCAGTGACATCATCTGCTAAATAATAGCACTCGCACGCGCTATCGTGTAAAACAATTAACTACTTACATGTACACTATTCCAATTGAAATATTTGTCGACATTTCTCAGCTTGTTTATTTCTTTTTTTTAAACATAAACGCCATTCAAAATATTATCATCAACCTGAGAATATGCCATCAAAATAGAATCTTTTAATATAACAGTGATATATTTGAAAGGTTTTCAAGAATCTAATAGGATTCTTCATCTCACTAATGTAAACAATGCGGGTAGACTAATCACCGGAATACATTTACAATTATCGGAATTCATTTACAATCACCGGAATTCAGTTCGAAAATCCCCGATTCCTCCCACAAAACTAATTTATTTTAAATGTATAATACATTATAATATAACGAGTGACTAGTTTAATCTCTCCACAGACCCGATGAAGGCACTGTAAGTGTATTTATTTGAAAGACTACCGGAATTCATTTCAAATATATGCATCATAATGATCATGATAACATAGGACACGTCGAATTACCCAGTAGGCCTAACTCAAAAATAACACAAAATAACAATTTGCGTCGAATTACCATATAACTTCAAAATAACACCCAATAACTACTAAAATGTTGAATATGTGGAAACACAAAATAACAATTTAGTTGAATTTAAGAAACCTCGCTGCTTTGTGCCCAAATCGGAGGTTCACGGAAGATAACTTGTGTATGTGATTTTTGTTGACAAGAAACTAATGTAGGCCTACACTTTTGTTGCAATTCGTTGTAATGTATTGTAATTAGAGATTGATTAATAGTTTATTAAAACAGTAATTATATGCATGAAACATATTTTGGTATA